GGATCTCCAAGGCACTCCCTGCATTGTCTTCACGCCGTTGAACGTTACTTCCCAGCCGTCCGCAGCGCACGACAGGCCCAGGAGGATCGTCCCCTCCCCCTCGCCACTCAGCCTCGCGCCCATCACAGGAATGCCGCGGCCCCCCGTCGGAACCGCGTCGATGGACACCGTCGCCACAAGTGTGAAGTTGTAGTTGGCAAAGTGGAAGCGCTGGTTCTGCCCCTGCCTGCCCACGGGCCACTCCGCCCCTGCGCCGCCTCCGTTGAACGTCAACCCGTTGGACGCTGTCCTTGCGACGCCTCTCACCGTGGCGTTCACCCCGAGGTACTCGTCCTTCCACTGGCCGCCGGCCACGGTGCCGGACAAAAAGCCGACCAGCCCAGCTGTGGGCATCGGAACGCCGCAGTCGCCTTTCCCTGCCGCCGATTTCACCGGTTGGGTGCATGCCATCGGGAGGTTACTGTCGGCCTCCCTCCAGGCCCGCACCACCGACTTCACCCGCTCCGCCATGTCCGTCAGGCGGGCAAGGTAGATGCCGTCAAACACCCCCACAGCGTCCCCCACCACAGAGTACAGCTCCTGCAGGGAGATCAGGTCCTTCCCGCCCGTGTGCAACAGGGCACTGCCGGCGGCGTGCTTGCTTGCGTCGGACACCGGCCCAACATCGACAACGTGGGCGGCGTCGGTGAGCCAAAGGTGGAGTTGGCCGTTTGTCTTGGCCGTCGAGTGCGCTGGCAGGGTGACGAGCATCACGTTCCTTTCCTCAATCGTCGCAGCGACGAAGCCGCCCTGAACACCGGATCCATCACGCTCAGGTGAGTTGCCCCACACGCGCGAGAGGGTCCCGAGCGCCTCCGTCCACGTCTCTCCCATGTCGCCCGACTCGTAAACACTGCGGTGGCCCTCCTCGCACGAGGCCATCATGAGGAGCCTCCCGCTCCCCCACTCCACGACGGCAGGATCCACGCAGCCCCCGGCAGACATCCCCCTCGACAGCCGCCAATTCTCCTCCGGGTCGCTAGAGTACATGACCAGCGAGACCTCTTTCCCCTCCTTTGTCACCGCCTTGACGGGGAATACAAGTGTGCCATTCTTCGTCACAATCCCCGCGCCTCCGCCGACAGAAAACGCCTGAAACAAGTTCTCGAGCGGCGGGTTGAGCCCAGCCCTCAAGGCGGGTACCTCCCAGCGGAGGGTCTTCTTTGTCTGGCCCGTCGCCGCTCGTTCAATTTGCCCAACAAGGAGCCAGGGGTACATCTCACTTGAAGTTTCCGCAGCTTGCCCAGAGTTGCCCCCGCTCTGAAGAAGAAGGTAGATCTTACCGTCCTTTACAACCGGTGTGGGGTTGTAGAAGTGAGTTGCCGGGACTTTAGGCGGTACGCCGACAGCATCTTCTCCCACCGGGCCCTGCCCATTGGGGTCGAATAGTCTCCCGGGCTCACTCGGTGCAGTGGACGCGATGAGCTTTGCCAGAACGGCCTTCCCTTCCCCGGAGTTGGCCTGCGCGATGGCGACAACCTCGCCGTCCAACTCAACAAGCGACGGAACGGAGAGTGAGGTGACGGGTGGCGCCGGAGTAGCAGCCTGCGGTGCCCCACGAGTGCCTCCTGCTGTCCCTGTCCCTGAGTCGCCCACTGGCGCCCCGGCGAACGCAGCCCCGCTGCTGCCACATATCAGCACGCAGAGCAGCAGCAGCGCCGCAGAGAG